GTGAGGCCACCTGCCTTTTCAAGAAACTCTGTATATGGAGGGGCTACCAATGGGTGGTACTTGTCACTTGCACAAACACAAATGGGCGCATATGTGGACGGTTTAATTTTACAGTTATATGAATTTGGTAAACAATTAAAATGCATTGGAACGCTCCTGGCCTTTGAGATTTATAGGTCTAAGAAAATGTCGATGCTTGTTTGTGTCTCGGACTTTGAGATTTATAAGTCTAAAAGAAAATGTTAGAAATGTAAAGTATGTTTTTTTTTTTCTCTCGGAAATGTAACTGAGTGAGAAGTTTTCAATTCCAATAATATTTTATTGGATTTAAAATAATAAAATAATACTTCAGTACAGTAACAGAGTATAATAACTCCTTTATTTTCCACCCCTGGGTTCTTTTTACTGGTTAAAAACTACTGGCATTGCAATTGAGTCTAGAATTAGGTTTAATCCATGTCCAAGAAACCAGCCCCATATACATCTGTCATCATCCCGTAAGCTCCAGATGTAGCAGGTTCTAATTAAGGCTAGTCCTGATTCTACAAAATACATTCACACACGGCATGCATACGTCCTGGAATGGGTACAAGACGGAAGTGTGGGACAGTAGTTTAGGAATGATGGCTGGAGAATTGTTATTATTCCCCTCCAAAGAAGCAAGAATAGCCCATTAATATAATTGCATATTGGTTTCAAAGATGGGATTTTGCAGTGAGAAGTACAAATTGGCCTGAAGTTATTGCAACAGATGTGACGTCTTCTAAATCACATAGCTTGGGCATGTAGAGATAAGCACTAAGCTGAACGCTTGTGGTCTGTTGCAGTTGCTCCACTCGTTCCTTGAGGGGAAAAGCATGATGAAAAGAATGGGGAGGAAAGCAACTGTCACATTATCCTCATGCCATCTGCCACTGTTCAGGCACTGCTTTTTTGTTCCATGTTCCAAAATAATGATGCAACCGCAGACAATCTGTGCAAGCCCTCATTATTTTCCACCGAAAATCGAAATGGTTTAAACTCAAGAAATGATTGAAAGTTGTGAAATGGTTGAAAGCCACAGTTTGCAGAGTGCATAAATAAGGCTATGAACCAAGTCCCTGACAAAGAAAGTTGAGAAAACCACATGGTCATAAAAGCTAGGGACAAGATCTAAGACAAAAACTGCCCAGCAATACTACAAAGATCCTGGAATCCTGACCAGACAGTGGCGTCATTACTGGCTCCATCCAATAAGCTGGACAAATAAATGGAGTGTAAAAAGAAATGGTTAATAATGGATGAGCAATGGTCGTTCAGGTTCTAGAGGTATCTACCAAGTGAGGGAATAGGCAGATTGGCCATGTATTTTGATTGGACACTAAAATGCTCTAATGCAACTGACCATACAGCAGTTAAAAAAGGTTGCAAAGCTCACTGAAAACCGGTCTTCATTTTGTTCATTTTTAACTCTTAAAGCTTTTGTGTTTTAATACACTGGAAATAAACAACCAGGTATGTTCACTCACTGGCTACTTTATTGTCCATTTTATCAGGTCCACTTACCATATAGGTGCACTTCGAAGTTCTACAATTACAGACTGTATAAGCTGCATAATTTGTCTCATTCACTAATGATTAGGAACCCCACACGATCAGGTATTAGTTGTGTGATGGATCATTTTAAATAACTTAAATAAAGGTGGCTAGTTTCGCAAACCAGACCTCTACCTGCCATCAGAGAGCCAGTATGTTTTGTGTCTTAATGTGGCCAAGAACCACCTACCTTGTGATTGGTTACATAAATAACCAATCACGGACCCTTTCTGCGAGTAAAAAATTGGCAGCACACATGAGGATATCCCACGTAAAAGCGATTAAATGCTTTGAGGAAAACTCTCGAATAATACCAGCTCAGTGGTGGGCTTGACCATTGATGAATGGGGTAAAGGGGGCTAATAAAGCAGAGCAATAGATGGACTCCAATGTATAATTGTAGAACAACAAAGTCCACCTATGTGGTACTAAGTGGTCCTGATCAAATGGATGATGGTCCTTTTTCATCAAAGTTGCATGAGAGTGCAAATTTGACGACCTTTCTCTGCATCTACATCGTGAAACATTCGTGTGACGTGGAAACAAGCAGAGGTTTGAGAGCAAATGATGAATCAGCTTTGGTGCGTGAAATCAAGTGCCAGCCTAGCAGCACTTCATTTACATCTCATTTACATGAAGCACGCCCTAATTCATGTAATTGTTTTGGTTTAGAGCCAATTAAACGACAGCATTTAAAAGCTTGCGAGCCAATGGCTGTTCTTGGAGTAGGTGGAGTTTGAGGTGAGTGCACTGCTCCCCCTACTGACCAAACTTTATAGGGTTCAAATTACAAAGGACTAAAAAGAATAAAGTGTGAAATAAACAAATTTAGTTTAAGATGGTAAAATGATGTGATTGTGTAGTATGATTATTTTCCTAAAATGCTGTATTACTGCAGTGTATGAGATGCTTTAGCACTAGCTGTGTTTTGTATTGTTTATTTTGTGGGCGGAGTCAGTATAAAGCAAAGCACAGTGTAATATGTCTTTGAATGGAACGTGGAAAAGTTTCAGCATTTGTTTTTACCAATGTGCATGTAAAATACGTACATTCACTCTTGTAATGGATTGCCATATGCACAAATTATTAGTTTTATTGTTATGGTTATGCCCTGTGATGGACTGGTGACCTGTCCAGGGTGTATCCTGCCTTCCACCCAATGAGGTTGGGATAGGCACCAGCTCCCCCCCGAACTCAGAAGGATAAGTGGCTTAGAAGATGTGCGTGTGTGTGTTATGGTTATGTTTTATTCTTATTATTGGTATTATTGTTTATATTGATAATAGTTTGGGTTGGCTAACCACAAATCAAACATTCTTTTCAGGCTGTGAAACATTCACGCTCAAATTTGCCTGCTTCAACCAGACGGGAGTTTGATTGTACAGATACGTCAAAAATGAGACTGTTGGTGAAATTTGTGTGCACACATTTTATGAACAGATTTGACCATACAAGGGCCACTGAGTGTAAAGGGGCCAGTGAGTGTCTCCATACTAAAAGCTCCCCATTTCTACCCTTTTGACCTAAACGTCAAGCATTTATAGTTTTGTTTTCACAGTTAACTCTTTCTATTGGTCCAGCTGCATCACTCCTTTGCAGCTCGCCACTTCCAGAATGTCTACATCCAAACAGATCAAGAAAAATAAAGGGTCACACTTTATTTGGATGGTCCCCTATAGATTATCTACATAGACTTAAATCATTAACAAACTTTCTGGTAATGTTCAGTTGATTATCAAGAACATTATGGTTTGGTTTAGGGTTAGGAGTACATGTAGGTTTTACCTTGAGGTTAAGGTGAGGGTTAGCCTCTTAAATTCCTTGGAACCACCGGTGGTTCCAAAACGCACTTTGTCATATTCTTCATAACTTTCATATTTCATAAGCTACATTCTAAAGGTGGGGGTCGTATGAGAGCTGTAACTGTCTTCTTTCCAGTCAAACAGATGGGTGATGTAATTTTAAACTATATAAATTATATAAACTATAAACAGACGGCATCTCTTCAGTGATCTGCACTGTAAAAATTATTTTTATAAAATAATACAAAGAGCATCTAAGATTTTTGGCTTTCAGCAGTAAATTGTAAGCATATAGCGATATGTGTGATCATAAAACACATGTTCTGTTAATTTAAGAGGAACTTTCACAATAAATAAATAAATTAATATAATAACAATTTACATCTATTTCATGCAGTTACTGAATAATTTGCCTTACGATTTGGTCACGTAAAGTCAAATGGACAAACCCGGAGAATAAGAGGTTAGGTTTAGGGTTGGAGTTAGATTTAATAAATTCTTCACAAGTTCAGCTGAATTTAATGGATATTTAGTTGAATGTTACTTAAAGGCCCAGTGAGCATTTACAAAGCACCTACAGTGGACCATCCAAGTAACACTTAACTTCACAACCGTTGTCTATTTAGTTGGATGTTATTTGAAGATACACTGAACATTTACAAAGATTCTACAGTGGACCATGCAAATAAAGTGTAACCAAATAAAGATACTGCTACTGCTGAATCACAGTTAAACACTTTCTCAGTCACCGGCTCCGACTAACAGCTGCTTCGGCAGCTGCAGGAACAGCCGAAACCTCATGATCATTTCACAATCGACAGGCTTCCAGCAGGGCTTTGTTAAAGACGCGCTGACGTAACACCACATGGTTTAACGAAAATGGAACGCCCCAAATAAAAGCAAACTTGGCAACACAAAATCATGAGTAGTCCAGAGGCATGGTGTAAGATCACAATACTACAATAAAACGGCCCTACTGATCCTCTGCCTGTGCAAAATGAAATACAGTACAGCACGAGGAAGGAATCTGAAAGACTCTCAGTTTGAGGTAGTCCTGCAGGGCTAGATGTGATCCTGTAATGAGAAAACATCCAGGGACAACTTGTTAAACCTTTGGCGCTGGATTGAGGCCGCTAACACGGGGGCACCCCCTCTAAAACTCCAGAAGTCCATGCTCTTTTAACGTCCGGCGTTCAAGCAGTAACACAAGCAAAACAAGCTAGCTAAAGAAGCGCTACTGTTGGCCAACAGAAGTTTTTCACTAGCAAGTGGTAATGTTTAATTTTCCATGTGGAATGTGCTTTCTGCATATCGCTGCTGTCGGAACAAAACCTCGTATCTCCAAAATGGTAACTTTACAGGAGAAGGAAAAAACTTCCTTTACTTTTAATGTAAGTCAATGGAACCAGGCATTTTTTCCAAGTAGTTTTGAGCTGTTTCTTTGGGTCCATTAATCATGAAATTTACACACAATGTAAAGGGTAACATGTATTTTCGAATTATATCAAAAACTGAAAAATGACAAAAGTGGAGATACTGTCGGGAAGAATGTCGGGAAGGTTTTGTCCCAACAACAGCGATATGCAACTCACATCTACGTGCCCAACTGGAGTTTTTTTTGGGGGGGGGGACAAATTTCAGCCATGCTAACTTACAGTACATCCATGTGCTAACGACGGGCTTGCTTGCATACCATCGCCCCCTGCTGTAAGCCCACCCACCTTTCGTCCATGGTTTTCCCTAGACATTCTTCTTACTAGACCACATAAGGCCCTGCGAGACTTGTTTGAGAAAGATAAGGACATGCTCTACCTCAAGAACTATTGGCCTTTCGCATTTACGGGCAAAAAAATAAAAATAGTTCTACTCTACACGGACAGAAAACAACCGTAACATGAACATATATGCATAATTAGCACCATGGCACAAGCTATCAGGGTTCCAGCCCCAATTTTCCATGGAAGCCTCATAAAAATTAGCTCTGGCAACAAATATAGCTCTACATATAAATTATATATCTTCAGGTGTGTTTTTCATAATATACTTCGATTCCACATTCTCTTATTCGCATCGGTAAATGTGCACGTTTTCCAAGTAACACTTAAAGATTATAGGTCGGTATTTTAACCTGGTCCCAGATTCTGAAAGGTTTTTAAAAAAAAGGATACTGCGGCTGGGACGTGGCTCTGTGCGTATAACCCCCATTCGAGTCCTTCGAAAGGGCCGAATGAACCAGGAGTCACTGTTGGGTTTTTTTTTTGTTGGTGGTGTTTTTGGCTCTGGCTGAGCAGGATTATTATAAATCATAAGTTCGTAGTCACGTGAGGGTCAAACTGCATGCAGTTCACTGTTTTTTTTCACCTTCTTGTATAGCTGGCCCTCTTTAAAAGTTACAGAGGGGAGGAGCGAGGAAGACAGTCCAGCCGAGTCCAGTCCAGCTCAGCCCGGACACGGGCGCTCCGCTTCATATTGCACGAGGTGTCCATTCGGCCGTAAACACCGCCTCAGTGGTAGCGGCTCCTCTTCTCCTCAGCCTTGGAGCCGTACTCTCGTATCCCGATTCCCTTCTGGAGGTTCGTTAAAGAGTCTCTCATCTGTAAAGCATGAAAATGTTTGAGCAACAGAGAAATTGTGCAAAAAAAAAGGAAAAAATACTGTTTTTTTTACCAATGAGTGATTTTATGGTGCCAACTGCAGGAGTGTTATGATCTACATACATGATATAACCTTAATGTTTTTTCTTTTGCCCGGAGGGGAACCGTCATGGCCCTCTATGCCCTCATAGAAGGCCTACGATATTCTAAAGATAATATTTAAAAACTGAGCAGTTCTAATTTTATCTGATCATATTTCGACATTAAACATTTAAACAAACACAAATCTAAACAAATATATCATTCAAACCTGCCCATTCGATTTGTGTTGGAATGTGAAGGGTTAAATTAGAGAAGCCCCTTTGTCTCCCAGAATTTTCCTGCCTCTGCTGTTACTGGAAAGACCGTTGGTGATTGGTGGTCCCGCTATAAATTTACAGAGGGCCAAGCAATTGTAATTCAACAAGAGACCAATTTCAATTGACAGTAAAATTGACCAATCATATCTTCCCTCTAAATGGGTGGGCTTTGTTATCTCTAACTTTATGAAGCTAGCGAAAAAAGCTAGCTAGCTTGTTGGTTGATGATTGAAGCCAAGAGTAACGTTACCGCCAGTGAGGAGGACATCACTGCGAGTTTATTATCCTCGCCGTTTTCTAGATTAAGGTTTACTGAAAAGTGGGTCGGCAAAGGACGACCTACACCAGAGCTTAATTTGGTGCAAAAAGGCCGTTGAGAGGCATTTCAACTCCAGCAATTACACCACGATAACCCTGGATGACAGGATCGACCAAAGAGCAAAAGCTCTGCTGCTGGGACTGCTTGCTGTTGGGCGTGGAACGACCGTCTTGGGCCAAAGATGGATTTTGTGATCTAGGAAGTTTATCCAAGGCTCCGTTTACACAGCAGGTAAAAGTGGCCCAAATCCAATCTTTTTCCTCATATGTGACACAGTTGTGTCGGTGTGTCAGTGTAAACAGCAAAAAACACACTGAATCTGACATTTTCAATTCCGATCTGAGACGCTTTCATATGTGGTACTGAAATCCGATACGTATCTGGTTGTCTGAACAGCCAGATCGGAATTCATGCGACTTTTTCGTCAGACCAACCCGACATTCGTTAAATTTCATGCTGCTGAGACTCAAAAATTTAGGCTGATGTTTGTGTACAAAAAATTAGAAGAGACTCATCCAAACCGCTTTGTGTTAGAAGAGGTTCCGAAAGAAATGGCCGAACGCAGTGTTATGTCAGCTAATCCGTTCAGACTGATGTCGCATACAGGTCACATTTAAAAGACAATGTGAACAGCCGAACAAAAAAAAAACAGATTTGATGAGAAAATCAGATTTGGGCCACTTTTACCTGCTGTGTGAACGTAGCCCAAGTCAGCCCATCGCCATCAGAATGCTTGAGAAGCAATTGCTGATCAATTTAAAAGCAAAGGATCAGTTGCACGACCCCGCCATCAACCACTTCATCCAAAAGGACACGAGGATGGACTTTGTTTTCACGTAATGCCCTGATCAAAGTGTAGGTCATTTAAAATGGTAGGAGGGTGGGACTGTTATGCCTTTTGAACCTCCATATTCCTCTGAATTGAACACAGAGGTCGAGGTTTAAGAGTCATGGTACTGGTTTTACCTCATCTAATAAAACCACAGACGACTTGATGATCTCCCGCCACTTCTCCAGCTCGTCGTCATGGTAACGCTGCTGAGACTCCAAAAGCTGAGCCCATTCCATTTGTGTTTGTGGAGGTTTACTAGAAAACACATATGAGCTGGTTGTTATATTGGTGATACTACAGAATGCGAACAGTGTAAAATGTTCATGGCATGAAGGCCTAAATTAACACATGTTAAGGGGAAATCCACCAATTTTTTTGAAATTTCTGCATAATTCAGTCCTTGAGATGTAAACGTTCAGAGTGGTTTGGTGTGAAATGGTTCAGATGTCTTTACAGTGGTGGTGACAGGAACCAGGAGTCACCATGACTACAACACAAATATAGACATTTTTATTTACCAACCAAAATCAGCAGTGAACCTACACATGTCTGAGTTGTGATAATGTGATAAGTTTCTGTGAGGGAGCTTTTAGAGGTGGACGTCTGGTTCCTATCACCACCACTGTGAACAGTTCTGGCTCAGTAAGCATTTCACAGCAAACCAGGAATTCCCATTTAAGTGCATGAGATGAGCTTGAACATACACCACTTCTGTTCAACAATAATAGTTATAAAGTAATTAATAATATAATAATAGTGTGCTTTAAAATGTTTATACTGATTGATACATATAAAGTGTGCTTTAAGGGTGCTTGACTACATATTTATGCATTTAACATGTGCAACAATTAAGCACTAATGCATTTCTGGACTGCTTTCCTGTGTTCATACCTCTCTCCGGGTCTCAGGCCCTGCAGTGACGCTAAGCTCTGAGTGGTGTACTCCAGCATCCACAGCTTATAGAACAGCATCATGTTCAGAAGAACCAGCAACACCAGGCTGCCAACAGCAGAGGACACCAGTCACCTTCTCACCTTCTCAGCGCTGCATAAAACTCCGTCTCGGCATTACGATATGCTAGGCTTTGCTGACATCTAGTGGTAGTACGTTAACATAGCAACATCCATATAAAATTATTATGTACCTTACACAGATCCTACAGGATGCAATGAAGACAGGAAAGAGAAAGAGACATATGAAACCAAGGAAGAACAAAGACGGAGATGTTTTTATCTTTATCTTTATAAATGAACTGAGGGATAGAGACTGTTATATTTGAGAGGGGATGAGAACAGATGCAGAGCCGACTGAATATCAGCTCCTTCTACACAAGGCTTAATTTCACAAAAGCAGGATTTCTCAGCCAGATAAGTCAAGCCTGTCCTGTAGGAAAAAGGGTAAAGGACATTCCTAGTGGACAGGGCTTACTTTTGGCTTAAGTCAAAGAATCTGAAACTTTGAGAGGCGTAGCGCCCCCAAGCTGTGCGCCAGATGGCCCCAACAATTTGTTGAGTGCACTGAAAAATAGGGAATGTAATCAGAAGTGGCACTCGGTTCCAACTGGATGGTCTGTAAACCATCGGCCTCAGTTTACTTAAGAATCGTGCTTTGTGAAATGAAAAAGTGAAACTGCTGAATGTCTTCTTTCTGAGTTGAGACACAAAAGATAGAGGCTGAAATGAGACCAGTGTGGTCAGTGACAATGAAGCAAGACAGCTGTGAATAAATATGACATGCCTAAGGCAGCTGAGTAAGACTCTGTCCAGTCCTGGAGAACCAGAACACTGTCCTTAAATACACTTTCTTAACACAGTCTGATAGCAGGTTTTGTTATTCCATTTGTGTGAGTTTGATTGGAACAGGCCAATTCTGCCAGTTACAGCAGGCCGTTCACTCCACAATTATTACTGTCAGACTGTAAAACTACACACACTGCAGATTCATACTGGATTAAAATCACTCCACAATTATTACTGTCAGACTGTAAAACTACACACACTGCAGATTCATACTGGATTAAAATCACTCCACAATTATTACTGTCAGACTGTAAAACTACACACACTGCAGATTCATACTGGATTAAAATCACTCCACAATTATTACAGTCAGACTGTAAAACTACACACACTGCAGATTCATACTGGATTAAAATCACTCCACAATTATTACAGTCAGACTGTAAAACTACACACACTGCAGATTCATACTGGATTAAAATCACTCCACAATTATTACAGTCAGACTGTAAAACTACACACACTGCAGATTCACACTGGATTAAAATCGCTCCACAATTATTACTGTCAGACTGTAAAACTACACACACTGCAGATTCATACTGGATTAAAATCACTCCACAATTATTACCGTCAGACTGTAAAACTACACACACTGCAGATTCATACTGGATTAAAATCGCTCCACAATTATTACAGTCAGACTGTAAAACTACACACACTGCAGATTCATACTGGATTAAAATCACTCCACAGTTATTACTGACTGCTCTCACTGAACAGTATTCATTTGTTTATTAAAAATGACTCTTAAATAAAAGAATCTAAGCACAGAATAAAATATAAAGCTGGCAAAAGCTACATGTCCTGCAATGACAGTCTCTGAACTCTTCCTATCTGCAGGCTCATTAAACTCACACAAAGCTGATGATGAGCAGCAATTTGGAGACGCTGTAGAGGGCCAGGCCACCAGGGCCCGGGTCAGGGAGGTGTCGGGTCTGCGTGGATCCTAAGGATTATGGGAAAAGGAAAGAAGGTTATTAAGCAGTGATGTATGTGTTGGGATACTTGTAGCAATTTATGTGTTGGGTTATTAGTGGTGATTTGTGTGTTGGGTTATTTGTGGTGGTTTGTGTGTTGGGTTATTTGTGGTGGTTTGCGTGTTGGCTTATTTGTGGTGGTTTGCGTGTTGGGTTATTTGTGGTGGTTTGTGTGTTGGCTTATTTGTGGTGGTTTGTGTGTTGGGTTATTTGTGGTGGTTTGTGTGTTGGGTTATTTGTGGTGGTTTGTGTGTTGGGTTATTTGTGGTGGTTTATGATTTGATTAGGGTTATTCATGTGTTGGGTTCTTCACGGTAGTTTGTGTGTTGGGTTATTTGTGGTGGTTTATGTGTTGGGTTATTTGTGGTGGTTTATGATTTGATTAGGGTTATTCATGTGTTGGGTTCTTCACGGTAGTTTGTGTGTTGGGTTATTTGTTGTGATTTATTTGTGGGACTCTGGCGGACCTGCCACGTGTTTAATGCGGTGGATGACCTCCTCTTCGTCCTCAGGTGTGGTGACCGGGCTCAGGGCCTCGTCCAGGTGCTGCGGTCGCAGGTGCACCATCGGCCTCTTCCTCCGCCTCGCTGTGGCCGTGCGGACTGCTTTGGCTTTGGGAGACTGCCGGTGCGGGTCTGTTAGAGCCACCTCCATCTTACTTAGCTCCAGCTCTACACACACACACACACACACACACACACACACACACAACACACACACACACACACACACCTGCTGTTAAAATAATTTACAGCTGAGTAAGTAGACTAGAGTTCTAAGGGTTAACCCTGCTGTTATGCTCAACTGTAAGGAACAGCAATAATGTTCTGGGGTCAAAGTGACCTGATGCATGTTCAACCATCTGAAAGTAGTTACTTATAATATATAGAATATATATTTTTGTTCCTAAACATTATGTTAAACTTAATTACTATCAATTTAATGAATATTTAGTGTAATCAAGTTTTTCCGCTCATTACAATTCATAGTTTACTTATAATAATTCACTCGTTTTTCATTAAAAAATAATTTTCAAACCGTTTTTTTTCAACATTTTGGACATATTTTTTACAGCCATGGGAAGCCTGTTAATTAATACAAAAAACAACTCTACTGTCCTGGCTCAAACTGACCATTTCAATTCAAATCACACTCAATGAGCCGCAAGTCCAACAGAAAAGGTTTCATGCTCCAAAAATGATTAAAAATACTTTCCCTGTATTTTTAAAATTTTGAAATGGGTCAATTTGACCTGCAACACAACAGGAGGGTTAAAATGACTTTGCTCATATATTTAATAACACTCACCTAAATGTCTGAAGTATTCATCCAGGCCACTCCAGAAATTTCTCTCGATGAAGCCCTTGACCAGCCCCCACGGCTGCTTCCTGTACCGCAACTCAGTGGACACCCTGCAGGATGCATTGTATGACAGTTTGTTGTAGTAAATAATTAGTATAATATATAGTATCTATAAAAAATCAATATACAGGACAAACATCAAAGCATAGAGGCCACTTACAAACCAAAAATATTACATAACATTAATGTCAGAAATATACGTTTTAACGGTTTAGTGAAAATGTTAACGTTACCGAGAATGAATAAAAATGAACAGCCACCAATTAGCATTACACAAATGGAATCACACTAATAAGTATGTAGTAACTTCTATTCATTGTTAGCCAGATTAGCATGTTTGGCCATAAGCAATTGCTTGAAAATCAGAACAGCAAAAACATCTGATTAGCTCACCTCAGCCGGCACTTGTTCTTGGCCACTCTGGTCAGCATGTAGCGGTTGAGGGTGTAGAAGTAGTCGTGGTAAGGAACGTCATGCGTGATCACTTCAGCATCGATGATGTAGCACTCGCTCTTTTGACTGGCCTTGTACAGAGTCTGGAACATGAATGATAAAGTTGGTCTAGCAGGGCTGCAGCATACAGGCTAACATACATATTTGGTCATTTTGCATACAGTATAGACATTATATTTGATATTTCACACATTCTGGGAATAGAAATACGTTTTTCCATTCATTAAATTGTATTTACAGTCATTTTTAGTCAAATTATCTGATTCGAGGGCCATTTTTGATATTACATTAATTCTAACTTCATTCAGGACTTTAATTTTATTAGAACTTCATTCTTGTTTAGACTACAACTCTATTCATCATTCTGGACACATGCAACATTCCTGTGTAACCAAATTGTTTTTATTTTATTGAAAACATTGATTCCAAAGTTAGCCGGTTATACAGTGTTTCTCTTCTTGTAAATGAACTGGCATAAAGTAGCTCTTTTTCCACTGTCGAGCCAAATGGTTCTCAGGGCCGTACTGTGCCGTTCCTCGCTGGTGCGGACTCATGAGCCTGCTTACGGTTTCTTTTTTCCATCTGTTGTGCCGCTAAATCAGAACCAGGCGTGTTATTTGAGCATCATTTACTGAAACCGAGCCTATACTGCAGTGGGTTGAAGCTGTAGCCGACTAACTACACTAGCATTAGCATCGCAAAGCAGAACACCACAGAACAAGTCTATTCTTGTATTTATGTTGCTTCAACAGCAGACATTTAAATTTGTGCTCTCATATATGAGTCTTTATCCTCTTAAACGACTGTTTTCTAAGAATTAGTTGGCTGAAACTGAGTGTGTACACTCGCAGTAGCTAAGCCTAGCAGGCTACAGGGTAAAACACTACAAAACAGGTTCGATTTTGGCTCTCTGACACCCCAACACCAATCAGACGACTTTGCTCTCACTGTTATAAGTTTGGTGGAGTGCTGGAGTGATTGGATCTCAGAAGAGACGAGCCGGCTGGCATTAGCTTAGCTAGGAAGCTAAAGCTCCCAACACCACAGAACAGGTGTAATTTGGGCCTTCTGTCTCTCCAACACCAGCTGCTCGACTTTGCTTCGTCAGATTTGAGTCGTTTTAGCTAAACTGGCATCAGTAAAGCTTTTGTTAGTCAGAATCAAACCTGTTCTGTGGTGAGCAGAGCGGGCAGCATGCTAGCTACGCTAAGGCTAACCAGCCACTCTCTCCTGGTTATCAGTGCTGTTTAACAATTAGAAATTGGTGTTAGACTGAAGCTTTGAGATTTATTGAATGGTTGATTTAAAATCGTGCACTGCTTTAATTTACTGAACTTATTTGATTGTTTTCAGGTTTGAAATAATGCAGCAGGATGTCATAAACAAAGAACCAATCAGCGAATAGCTATGTCATTACATCATCCCACTGAACGGTACTTTGGCCCCGAGCATGGTTAGCTAACTGCGCCAAAACAAATATGCTGAGCCCAGTTTTAAGCGTTCCATGTTGAACCGTGTCCATGTGGAAAAGCCACTGGCATCCTTCGTGCTCAGAATCGTTCGGCCCTGCAGTGGAACTGAGGCCTAAGAGAACTCACCTGGGTCTCGGTGACCGTGGCCGTCTTTGGGGCCAGAGGGTTGGTGAGGGAGATGGTGTACATGATCTCTCTGCTCTGGTCCCCCGTCTCCTCCTTCTTCCAGGGCCGATAAACCACATCTGAGGAAAACAATGGAAAAACAATGGAAAATGTCAGATCGAAAGAGAAAGGAGGGAAAGGAAGAGGTTCTCGCAGAGCCCCAAAATTCAGTCTGTGAATTCATTTTTGATGTTTGAGATGATACTGCACTGATTTTTATATCTAGGATAAAAACATATCTGTTTAACCTTCATGCATGTTGTATAGATCAGCATAAAAATATGGCTATTTCTGCTATACTATTTATATACTATTTTTTTCAGTGTATTTTAGGTGCTTTATAATTACACACAGGCCATCGTCCATTTAAAAGGCATAATAATATATAGTGACACTTCTGTAAGAATTCATTATAGTTCATTATCACAGCCTTATGAAGCAGTATTAGAGTTTATATGTTTCCTACGCAATTCTTTGTGCAACTTGTGATTCGTTTGGCTTGATTAGCGTCGCTGATGTGTGCTGGTGCTGACCAGAGAAGCGGCGCAGCTCCAGAAAGTCCCTCATGAACTGGGACTCGGTGAAGAGAAGGTCATACATCTTATCCACACTGAACTTGTAGATCTCGTTGATGTATTGCTTCCCATTCAGATCCTCATGAAAGGCCTGGACTTCACCTAATAGCAGTGTGCAAAGAGAGGAACATATTACTCTGCAAAGGCTCAAGATTTAGCAAAAATACAAATAATAACAAAAACAAATATGTAATAGTCTGTTTATTGTAGCACGTTTTCTGAATGTGAAATAAATCCCATAAAATGTAGAACTAACAGTTCCTAACTCTCCGAACTATACACCCTATTGATTATGGCATTCTTTATTAACTTATTGATTTAAATTAATTAATATCTATGAATTATATATAATATAATTAAATATATATATTTGTGAAGTAAAAACTAAGCAAAGTTAATTCTTAATTACTGAATAGTCACTGAATAATATGGCTAGCGTTAAAGGGATTAAGGGAAAATTCCCGACCATACCCTCGTCGTGAGTTTCCGAGGAGTCGCTGAGCTCAGTGGGGAGATCCTCATTGTCGTTGAAGTCGAGCGAGGGCGAAGGGACCGGGGCGCTGGACTCGGACAGCTTGTTGTCCGGTAAAGGCAGGGCTAGGAGGTCCTCAGGAAGACAGCTAGCAAACTCTTCCTCTGGAGCCATATCATACTAAAAAAAGGAGGCCAAACATTAGTCATCTTTATCCATCGACTCAATTTCATTTACACTACAGTTTAAACATTTAAAATTGTGAATAAGGTTAATCATTTTTGTTATTTTATACAAAAAGTTATTAAAGAATAATTTCTTATTCAGTGTAGCTTTACATATTACAAACTAGACACCAGTGTATTTTTGGTTATTTATTTAATATTAATAGATTTTTGAGAACAACAAGAAGTTATTAAATTGTACTTAAGATTTAACAATCACTTTTTAAATACTAGACGTTCTGGATATTAATTTTATTATACCTTGACTCTTACTTGTCTACAGCTCTGTGCATCATTGCATTTAACAGCTTCCAAATAAGCACTTAAAACCTATAAGGAAGAACCACGCAGAGGAACTAAGACCCAAAAAGAAAAAAGCATGCTCAAGAACCACTGAGAGCAACTCAAAAGCAGAATCTCATCAAAACTAAGAGCAAGAACCACTGAGAAGAACCAAGACTGAAAAGAAGAGCTTCCCTAAGAGCATGTGGAGAAACTACTGAGAGGAACCAAGACTCAAAAGGAGAGGTTTCTTAAGAGCATGAGAAGGAACTACTGAGAAGAACCAAGAGGAGAAACTCCTTCAGAGTGTAAGAAAAAAAAACACTGAAAGGAACCAAGACAAAAAAGGAGAAACACTCTGATATCATGAGGAAGAACCACTGGGAAGAACACAAAAGTAGCTCAAAGAGAAGAAACTCAAACACAAAAGGAGAAACTCTTGAGAAGAACCACTGAAAGGAACCAAGACTCAAAAGGAGAAATCTCTCTAAAAACATAAAGAAGAACCACGGAAAGGAACCAAGACTCAAAAGGAGAAACTCTCTAAAAACATAAAGAAGAACCACGGAAAGGAACCAAGACTCAAAGGAGAAACTCTCTAAAAACATAAAGAAGAACCACAGAAAGGAACCAAGACCTCAATGAAAAGCTCTTAAAGATCATGAGGAACAACAACTGAGATGAACCAAGGCTATAAGGAGAAACTCCCTAAGATCATGAGGTAGAACCACTGAGAGGAATCTACTAGATCTGCTTTTCATATCTGTCAAAAGAAGCTCTGTCCAAAGAAACAAATGAAACTTCTCTCTCTTGTTATACATTTTAAAGCTGTATTAAGATATTAAGTTAATTTCTTTGTTCTCTTAAAAAAGTTATCATGGTTTTCTTAGGACAGTGATAAATGCTATAGTTTGCATAAATGATTAATAATGCTTCGCCCCATGATTAGCTTAGTCAGCTCTGTGGTCCTTACGTGGACAGGTGTGTCCGTGCTGCCCGTGGATGGGAGGTTATTGCTGGTGAAGGATTTCTTGGGCAGCTGGGGGCTGGCGTCCACCTTGACCTCTGGGCTTTTGGGGCAGGCGTCGTTGGCCTCGTTGTCCTCGGCCGGGATCTCCTCACAGTACCTACACCAGGGGGAGGGGCAACAGCTGGAGGTCAAGATTACCAGCTCGGGGAGGGGGGCGGACACTCTTACATACATATTGATGGGACGGGTTGACTGCTGGTAGGGCCATATTTCCATATGATGGTTCTCTAATATATCTCATATGGTGCTGTGTTAATGTTGGTGGAATATGACTGGTTTGAATATTAGGTATTATACTGGGAATATTAAAAATGGCATCAAAGGTTCTTTATGCTTTACTGCACATCAAGCAATCTTGCATCTATGGATTCAATGGTTGATTCCTACATAGGTTTAAAGTGACAAACAGAAAGGCAGTGTGGGTGAAGGAAATGTAGTCATGTATAAAAACTCAACCCCATTTAGATAGTCTTGTATATGTGGGAGGGGGCAAAACTCACCCCATGGTGTTGAAGTCATCATCTGGAGGCACATAATCCTCATCATCACTTGTCAAGCCCAGCTCGTTTCCATAGCACTGGTGGACAAAGTGCCACAGCTCTTTGGGACATAATGGCTACACAGCAAAGAGAATAAAAAGTTGGTATTATATTACTGTACAAGAATGAGATGTTGATCCATACTTTCACCATAAAACGCAACAGTTTGCAAGGATCTTCATGCACTGATTTAACGGATTTGGTAAAAAGACCGAACTCTTAGAAATCCCATCAAAAAGTCCCATCCATATGGCAGTACATTTGATTGCACTCAGTTAAATGTAGTTCATTTAATGTGCAGTTAACAGAATATGTATATAAAAGATAAATAAATTAATCTTAGCAGATTTTACATGTTGCCTAAAGAATATGAAATTGGTACCACTATTTCTACAATAAGCCTACCCTTATAAGCAATTTATGAATGGTTTATGGTTATTCATTAAGTCATAAACACCTTAAAACCACTAATAAACAGTTACAACACATTAATAAAAAGTGCAAAAATTAGCTGTTATATCTGATGAACATTACATCTGATGAAGCCGACGGGTTTAATGATTACTGAAGGAGAAGACAATAACCGTAACCAGCAAGACCTACATAAAAGAATGTAGGTTCAACATTAGGCACATAACAGATAACTGTAGCTCTTTTTATTTGTGTGTTATAACTGCTTATTAATGTTTTTAAGGTGTTTATTCTTACTTTTTCTTAAGTTATCATTCTGGATATACAAGGTCTACAATTAATAACCATTAATAAACTAGTTTTTCAACTATTCATAAAACCTTTATAAGGTTAGTCTTATTCTAAAGTAGTACTAAAATATTTCGATTCTCCCTTTCATATGTGCTTTTATGCAAAATGTTCTCAGTAATTAAACAGGAAAGGGGTTGTATGTGAATACAAGCCAGAATCTAATTACTGCTAAGAATGTTAGGCAACAAGTTGATACAGTACAGGAAAACACGGTCTTTCAGGTGTCGCAAGTGAAAATATTTAATAAATATTTAGTATTATGTATTTTGTGCACAGTTGAGGTGCCATACTGCTCAAAAAAATCTGCCCCTTGTGTGTGCATGGCTGCTACCGAGCAGAAGTGATGCAGCCCGGTCAGCAAATTAGAACATTTCTGTAAAGCTTTTGTTATTACTGTAGGCCCACAAGTGTATGAATTTTAAGCCACTTTTGATACAAACCTGACACTGTTTTCCGCTTTAAGAGCAAAATATCCAATCTGTTGATGTGTGTGTTGTGGTAGGATGTATTTTTCAGACAGGCAGTCTTAGACAGTGACAAGAGAACAGGACAGCGGGCAAACCTGAACACCTGACTCCCAACATATAGTGTACTGACTTTGAGTTTAGCCCCAGTCAGTACAGGGAGAGATGCTCATTATTTAGCACATCACTAGATTTTGACCAGCCTTACAAACTCAACACTGAAATGCTGAACTGTAACGCTGCCACATGTTGTGTATGTTCCAAATGCAGGCTGCGTCGAACCTTGTCCAGGAGAGCATTCTGCCACAGCCGGAACATCATCATGTAAGTCCGGTCCCGTGCCCCGAATGAGGTAAAAAAGTGCTGCGGGGAAAAATACAGAATAATACTTAAAACACAACAACACAGAGACTGGTACTCAGCATGATAGCATGTTAGCAGGTTAGCGCACCTTTTCATTGTCAGTACAGAGCTGGATGGCGTTGGGGATGAGGCGAGCCGTCTTCTCCTTCGTCATGGAGCAGACGTCCTTCAGCCGCACTGTTAGCTGAACCCAGACATACAGAGAAGGAGACTATAATTTGGTACACTATTCAAGAAAACACTAGCACTTCAGTACATTCGTCCCTGTAACTGCACTTTCTGAGTAAAATTAAATCAGTCATTTTATTTTTACTTGAGTTTATTTCTAGATTTTGAACTTTTATTATCCATTACAAAGTAAAAGTGCGACTACCTGAAGAAGCACTTGGCTGGTTGGTTAACCATTATTAGCTAAATAGCTTCTTTTACTCTTTTAGATTCACAAGCACTTATTACACATAAGACTGTTGCTTATACACAGATCAGGCATAACATTATAACCACCTCCTTCTTTCTACGCTCACTGTCCATTTTATCAGCTCCACTTACTACATAGGTGCACTATGTAGTTCTACAATGTGTGTTGTGCTGGTCTGAGTTGATCAGACACAGCAGTGCCACTGGAGTTTTTAAACACCTCAGTGTCACTGCTGGACTGAGAATAGTCCACCAACCAAAAGTATCCAGCCAACAGTGTCCTGTGGGCAGCGTCCTGTGACCACTGATGAAGGACTAGAGGATGACCAACACAAACTGTGCAGCACCAGATGAGCTATCGTCTCTGACTTTACATCTACGAGGTGGGCTGACAAGGTAGGAGTGTCTAATAGAGTGGACAGTGAGTGGACACTCACTGTTTAAAAACGCCAGCAGCACTGCTGTCTGATCCACTCACACCAGCACAACACACACTAACACACCACGACCACATCAGTGTTACTGCAGTGCTGAGAAGGAACCACCACCCAAATAGTACCTGCTCTGTGAGGGTCTAAACATACACCACGCATATTCCACAAATAAATAAAACAAGTGAATCTCATTGATAACAGGATAAAGAAATATCCATAAGCAACTGTTTACATGAATAACTGACTAAAAATTATATCCCCAGAAAGAGTAATAAGGTCAAACTACTAATTACCAGCGTTTCCCAGCGGAAGATGTTGCTATAAAAACAGATCCAGTTTTCGGAGAGGTAGAGGCGACCCTGGAGGAGGATGTCTCTCTGCAGGGCACATGAGTAGTCTGGCAGGACAGAGGAGGAAAAAGAGGTCACAGGTCACAGTGTTTAGAGGTCAGAAGAGTTAAGGTTTATTCTCAGCTGCTGTATACAAAAGCACCAGTGCTATAACCTCACACGCCTGCAAAGTGTGTTGTATGGGTAAAGAATGTGTACCAGTTAATTATGAATTGCCTCCTGGGCATCGTGAACTGACTCGAGATGTGGTACTAATCAGGATGCATTTGTAATTGTTCGATATATTCAAATTTTTCATGATACTTCCAAAGGACCATGATGCTTAACGCTCGTATCACCACTGTGGCAAACATGTATCAACAGAGGTCTTCAAATTCGGTGCTTGAATGCAGTTTGCACACCTGGATTTTGTAACTACTGGACCAGAAACTGGAAACTGGATTCATAAGTAGCCTTATGAATTGTCCTGACCTTTCCTAGCTACCACCACCTACAGGCGTAAAGTGAGCACTTCAGCACTTCAGCCACGATGACTAAACTATAGCAATGGCAGGACAATGTCTTACACAGTGAATATGCAGATGAACAAATAGACAAATGACAAATAATTAAATAAATAAGTTCTAAGTATTAACAAAAAATGTTAAAAAGTAGAAATCACCATTCATCGTAGTACTCATTTTCTGACCCTTACATATAAAACTGACCTCATATTACTTGTCTATGTATTTAATAATAATGCTTACTCACCCACGATGAGGCGCTCTGTGTCGGGCAGCTGCTTGAAGAGCTTTCTGAAGTCCTCATTGCGCTGCTTGTACGTGGGACTCAATACCTACAAGACCAGACAGAAACAGTCAGATAGGATACACAAGCACACATCTCCAACCACAAAAGCACAGTCACACAGTAGGAAGGTGGTCCGATAGTCAAACACAAGCCAGATCCAACTGTGAAAAGAGTACAGAAACAACATATTATCATAGTGTCCTCCTCTGAGCTACGCACTAGGTCTGGTGTGTATAATAACAGGCCACTTGACAAGAGGAGGGATAACATTCTTTGAAGCAAAGACTTCCTTCTTTTGGCAGAAGCCTCACTTCTTATCTGTCCTGTCTCAAAACCGCAGTGTGGGACAGAAACAGTGCATTTTTTCAGACTGAACTAGACAAACACCCTTTCTTCATTTATCAACCATAAGCTAGGCCAGGGGTTGCCAACATGCGGCTCTGGAGCTGCATGTGGCTCTTTTACTGTCCTGTTGTGTCTCCATAGCAGAATTAGATTTTCAGGTAAAAATAAAATAATCCACCTTTACAGTAAAATAAAACTCTGCTGATCGTTCAACACAGTTTTAATAATAAATGGTCTTAAACGATGGAGTTAATGTATAACGTCTAATCCACCCTCTAACCCTGAGGATTGGCGCACAGACTGCTGGTCTCCATAGCAATGCAGACAACAATCTTGTCTAGCTAGTAGCTAACGAAATGGCAAAGAGAGATTTAAGATGAACATTGATAATTTGGAGACGAATGGACTTTATCATCACTCCACCTGGTTTCCAGATACGTTTAATCTGTAATGAGAAACTGTCAGTCACCGCTTAAGGTGGAACGGGAAAATTCACATGAGAACCTGGCAAATGAGAAATTGACTTCAGCCTAGTAAAACAATTATACGTTGAGAGACATTTTACAAGAAACTGTTCCACTTTTCGAAAGTTTCCTGTCGGAGATGCGAGAAAAGCAGCTATAGCTGAGCTAAAGATTAAAGCAGAGCAAAGTGAGTCTGTGTTTTCATTTATATATTTTTTTGCCTATGCTAACACATCAGCACATACTGAGACATATTTACAGCCAAGGTGGTAAAATGGACATAAAATGTTGGCTCCCAAGGTGGTTTAATTTTTGCTGAAAGGACAAAATGGCTTTTCATAACATTTGGGTTGCGACCCCTGAGCTAGGCATTAGGTGCATAAGTGGACCTTCAAGAAGTGAGGAAAATAAAACAGGCATAATATGAGATCATTTTACACTGCACATCTGCATAATGTGAGATCATTTTACACTGCACATCTGCATAATGTGAGATCATTTTACACTGCACATCTGCTGAAACAATTAGAATCCGCAAGTCTTGGTGAACACCTGGGATTTCTGGGACTTGTCAGAACACTTGAAAATTAAACTGACTGTAAATTCCTAAGATTCATCATTGCACTCACTCGACAAGCAGTGTTATTTGTCACCAACCAGAGCTTGGTCGTGAATCAGTGGGTGTAGCACAATATAAAAAGTTTGCTTTCTTTTTTGAAAGATTCCAGTGAAGAGTGGTCATAAGCAGACAGTGAAAAGCTGGTGAAAACAGAAACGCTCCCTGATTGTTTCTGCACCGAAATCAAAACAAATCAGCAAGTCAGCATGGCCCATTCCTTCCCATTTGTGGGAAAATACACTAAAGCCGCTGAAGTCCTAATAAAGCCACAGCAAGTTTCTTTAGCGTCTAAAATGACCAGAACCCCAAGTTTCCCTTTTCACCTTCTCATTGATCACTTACTGCTGGAATTCTCTCAAACTCCCATTCCCAGTGAGTCCAACGACACTGGAATTCTTCAGGGTCTAAGATCGCTTCCCAGTCAGACAGTCTGTCAGGCTCAGTCTCCATGCTGACCACTTCCATCAGCTAAAACAAAAAAAGGCCACAGGGGTCTCCAGCACAGTCGTCAGCCCAGTTGATTTATCTTTTGGTGAGATCAGAGGTCACTCTTTCTGGAGTGGGACTTCTTGTTGGTGTGATGAGCCCCAGCCCAGTCTCATGAGTGCAGTCTAGCTCTCAGTTGACCAAAAGTAACCCACTCATGTTTGTCATCATCTAGCCAGGGCATCCAGTCTAAGAGCAGGCGTTCCCCGAGTTTAAGGGGATGAAAAAATAGATTGCTTCACACCCCTCAAACTGCACTGGAAAGACACCCGGGGATTCCACCACCCACTGAATCCTTTCCGGAGATCCACCTGAATGTCTGCAAGAAAGTTTTAAAGCAGCTAGTTTTCCAAGTCTTTGGAACTTTGCGTCAAAGTGATCATATTTCACTGGTGCATTCGGCAGCTCCAACTCTGCCAATGGAAACACTTTCCTTAGCTGCTCTTTCCTTGTTTTAAGGCCATGGTACTTGTCTCCATCAAACTTAGAAAGTGCATTCACTGGCTTCCATTATTATGTGACCCTTCGAGACATGGGCACTAGTTTGAAATCAGACGTGAGGATGGAGTTAATAGTTGTTGAGTGGGATCCTCTAACGGTACACTTTAGCAGTCCCGGGCTCTTTTGGGTAAAGCAATTCCATTGCAAGCCAGTCTAGAAGTAAGTATCCAAGCACAAACACTGCCACCATAGCAATCAAGGGTCAAAGAAACAGTGGTCTCTTCCAAGTTGGGGATACTTAGGTGAATGCAGTTTGAAACAGCAGGCAATCCCTTATGAGAAACCGATTCCATCAGATCCTAAAGCATGGCTGGTTCAAATGATTCCAAAGGGCACCACACTGTATTCACGCAGACCAAGAAATAGAGCTAAGAGTAAACAAGCACAAAACCTAGACAGAACTGAACCGCTATGTCCACCAAAACCACCCACAACAGCAGCTCTGCCCAGAGCTCTTTTCAGGCTTCCTAGAAAACAACTGTGGAGCGCAGCGGGGTGGGAGGAGAGAGTGAGTAAGTGGGGGAATGTTTGTGTGTAGAAAGAAAAAAAGTGGGAGGAGGGGACGGGGCTGCACGAGAACCAATGAGATGAGTGCAGAGCAGAGAGTGTGTTCTGCGCTCTAGGCACTGACACACTCTTGCCTTCAGCATGAAGGGCTGTTGAGATTTATTACAGAGCCCCAGGCCCTCTTTCGAGATTCTACATTTCAAATTCTACATCTGTAAACCTCAGATGTAAAACCCCGGTGGAAACACTTTAACTCGGCCAGGCCTCCCCAAAGCCATACCCTCCTCACAGATGCACTCGCTGACCCCTTTCCAACTGCTTCCACATTCCTCCCCTCGCCTCTGCTTCTGAGAAATCCTGGGTTCAGCAGAAAAAAACAGTGTTGCGAAAGTGTTCGTGCCATTTTTCCATAGGAGACGACCTTGGATCTGCGGGTTCCGTGAGATAGGAGCAGAAGCTCACAGAGCAGGGCATTGTGCACAAAAACGCTGTTTGGTGGAGTTGGCCTAAACATTGTAGCATGGCCAAAGACACGCCCCAGGCAGTTCACTCCCTCTCCCTCTCTCTCAGTGAGGTGAACGAACTGTAGTAAACCTTCCTCTGGAAGGAAGGGGTCTTGGGGAGGCTCATGCCAAAGAGGTGAATCACCTCTTTCTTTTTGACTCTCTCCTCTCTCTCACTCCCTCTTTTTCTCTCTCCCATTCCTTTTTCCAGCAAAAACATCTGCTTCAGTTCTAATATCTTCTCACCCATCTCCACTGACTCTGGCTCATGACTGGTTCTCTGAAGCGCTGTAGCGAAGTTTATGACTGAAGTGAACAGCACTTCCTAAACCTTTCGTTTCCAGGATTCTCCTTCGTCATGATGAGGTGCTTTTTAGCGTTTTCCTTTCTCTTCTTTCTCTCCTGCTCAAAGCCACATGGTAGAGACCCTTTCTAGGCTTATGTAGAGCTTGCTGCACAGTTGGGAATGGAGGATGCACAGCAATGGTGATAGGTCATGCAAGCATACAGCGGCACAGCCATATTACAGTTGCATTCTACCTGATAATCATTTTTGTATCATTTTAACCCTTCAAAGTCTTCTTACTGTACGTCTAGGCAAACAATTAAAATAAACACGGTTAATCACATTATTTTGTGATGTGCGTTATCACTAACCCCTTAAAATCTTAGGCTTATTACATACTAAGGATTATTATTGTGTGACTTCAATGTAAACTGGCTGAGCTATTCTTATGTTATAGAAGTGTGTAATAAAACTTTTTTATTTATTTAAATTTGACCCTATTTTCACATGCACTTAGAGTTCCCACGAACCTGAAGATGAAAAGCACACGTTTAAATTTCGTCACTGACGTCCAGTCAGAGCAACAGCGTCTGCATGTACCAATGAATGAGTGTCTATATCATATATATAATATATACTGTCAGTGAGTGTATATATTACATATATCATATATACAGTCAATGAGTGTCTATATCATACATATCATACACCAGGGGTGCACAACTCTGGTCCTGGAGGGCCGGTGTCCAGCACAGTTTGGAGGTTTCCCTGCTCAAACACACCCACTTAACCTAACATTTAACAGATAAGTGTAATCAGGTGTGTTGGAGCATGTAAATCACCAAACTGTGCTGGACATTGGCCCTCCAGGACCGGAGTTGTGCACCCCTGTCATATATAGTCAATGAGTGTATATATCACATATATTATATATACAGTAAATTAGCGTATATACCACATATATCATCTATACAGTTAATGAGTGTATATATATATATATATATATATATATATATATATATATATATATATATATATGCAGTCAATGAGTGTCTATATCATATATATCATATATACAATCAGTGATGGCATATATCATATATACAGTCAATGGTTCATCTCTGTGATTGCAGCCTCTCACTCTCGTTCACAGAGCCTGTGGATTCTTGTTACAGTGGAGAATCTCAAGGGGAACTGGAGCTTCACTTTGCTGTTGCTTTTGTTAGTTTTCTGCTCATTGATTTATCCATAGTTCTCCTGTGAGCCCTGTCCAGTGGAGCCTGCTGAACCCATTTAAAAGCTATGTTTGGGAAACAGCTACAATTATGGATTTTA